AGTAATGTATAGATGATATTCAGTCATTAGGAAGCGATATCTCGCCTTTTTAGATAAGTTACCTACAAAAAGTAACTAGTAACTCCGAAGTTACTAGTTACCTGGTAACTGGTAAATATATCGTTACTAGTTACCGAGTAACTAGTAATTTTTGAGTTACTAGTTATCCGGTAATGTAACTACCAGGTAACGGTAACTTCCCATCCCTAGTGCTAATCAGCTCTCGAGTTTGCGTAGAAATGTTCAAACCGATAGATCAAAGTAGGCTTGAGATAGCTGTTTCAAGGGGTCATTGTAGCACAGCTTACAACTAGGGATGCACCGATTCCGATTCCTAAACTGGAATCGGTTGAAACTGACAGGAATCGGAATCGGAATCGGTCGGGACTGACTTAGAACTGGTCAAGAAAAGGTATGCACCTGTGACAGCTAATTGGGTGCTTGTTGGCCTGGATACCCAGTTCAACCGGGTATATACATAACAAATGTACGATATACAAAATCATCGGTAGTTTCGATGTACCCATAGGTCCTCAACTCCTATACTTTGGAGGTCCCTTGGGTCCTCAAGTCCTATACTTTGGAGGTACCTTTGGGTCCTCAAGTCCTATATGATAGGGATACCCCTAAGTCCTCAAGCCTATACTTTAGAGGTACCATTGGATCTTCAAGTCCTACACTGTTGGAGTACCCTTGAGTCAGAGTTATCGATTAGAGATTGATGGGGGGTGATTTCCCCCGCAAAAATCGAAATAGTGTCCGACTTTCTGCCAAAATTCTAAATACTTTCCGCAAAATTTTTTACAGGTGCGTGGTAAAATATGAAAGAAACTTGGTTTTTAAACTCTCTTTGCCCTTCTCTTTGACAGAAAGTCAAATAAAAACACTTTCTATTAACAAAATCTCGGGAAAAGTCTATACTTTTAGCATTTTTTGATTGGTATCTGCCAGAAAGTCAAATGAAGGCACTTTCCGCTAAAATTTCTAGACTTGCTGCCAAATTTTATCCCCTCCCATTCTTAAAAACAATCGAGAAGCCTGCCTTGGGTCCTGAAGTCCAATATGATAGGAGTACTCATAGGTCCCCAAGTCCTATATGATAGGGTACCCATAGGTCCCCAAATTCTATACTTTGGAGGTACCCTTGGATCTTCAAGTTCTACACTGTTGGAGTACCTTTGAGTCTTCAAGTCAGTGCTACCACCTTTTCACGCTCGAAAAGCAGAAAATTATTTGGGAAAAAACAGAAAATGACAGAAATTTCACAGCCAGAAAGCAGAAAAAAAGCAGAAGGTATGTTTTTTATCTAACACTATATTTTAACCTGGTCTCACGAGGAAAGATCCCTGACTGTGTCTCCAAGTTTCCTAATAAAAAGTGCATTGGTTTGTCAATTCAATTACTCTGATCTCAGATCTAAAAAGATTACCTGCTGAGACTTCTAAATAAGGATATAACCTGCTTTGTAAAAAGAGTATAGTTACATAAACCGGTAAAGTCTTTACTTTTTTACCAAGAATGAATGAAGAAAACTTACGAATATTTCAATTATTTATGCCTATGCTTTACTATATGCTTTTTGCTACAGTATCCTCTCCTACTTTCAGAAAGAAAAGTAAATAAATCAAATTTCATTGATTTATTTTTCTTCTTCCTGAAAGTAGGAGAGGATACTGTAGCAAAAAGCATATAGTAAAGCATAAGCATAAATAATTGAAATAGTTATAAATTTTCTTCATTCATTCTTGGTAGAAAAGTAAAGAATTCACCGGTTTATGTAACTATACTCTTTTTACAAAGCAGGTTAGATCCTTAGTTTAATTATCATCTGTGAAGAAGATGACAGCACCTTATAAGCTAGTACATAGTTATATACACATGGTAACTAAGCAAAAAATGCTTTGGCTATAACTTTTTTCTAAAGCAATGTCAGCAGGTAATCTTTTTAGATCTGAGATTAGAGCCATTGAGTTGACAAACCCATGCACTTTTTATGAGAAAACTCAGGAATACAGTCAGGAACCTTCCTTCGTTAGTATGATAATGAGAAATTTTCACGGCGAATTCTAGTTTTATTGTACAAATCAAGAAAAAACACCGTAGCTTCTCATTTGCGAACATGATCATTAATATTAATTAAAAATTTTATAACTTAATTTCAAAATTTAAATTTTCGTTTTAAATCTAAAGTTTGTTCAAACTTATATAGAACCAGTCATTTTTCACTGCAACTATTATAGAATTACTAAAGTAGAAAGTATATCGACAAATCTTTTTACAACTATCGAAGAGTCCTCCCATGGATGACACTCATAAAAGCTCTGGATACATATTCACAAAACATTACCATCATTGTCTAGTTACAATATCATACATCTCTCATTCTTGATAATTATAAAGCACCATAATTAAAATTAATAACTATCCTAATAAACAAATTGAACCCTTCCTTCAGCTTCGTCAACAGCCATCGCTACCAGCACTACAAACGCTCAAAGACAACAAAATGCCACCATGTCCTCGTTGTGGTCGTACTGACAAAGTTTATTATTGGCCAGCTTATATTGATAATCATCATCGTCTTAAAGCTGATATGGCTGCTAGTGCTACTGCTGCTGCTGCTCGTCTTCGTGCTGCTGATAATGCTGGCGCTACTACTGCTCGTGCTGCTGCTGCTGCTACTGGTATTCAACTCCCTGATTTTACTACTCTTCGTGATCCTAATGCTCCTGCTGCTGCTGCTGTTGCTGCTCTTGCTAGCATTGCTGCTGCTGTCCGTGCTCCTCATTCTAGTGAAGGTGATTACGCTGATTATGCTCCTGGTCGCGATCGTCTTGGCTATATCGGCAGTCGTTCGAAGTTTTGCTTCTTTAGACCTTTTGGCTCGAATAGTGATTTCATTTGCGAGTACAAACATTGACTTGAGGAAATTAGCGCTTTTTTTTGTTTTGGTATGATATTTTATGCGTGATGTGAGTGATTTTATGGAAAATGAGTTATTTATAAAAAAATAAAAGCTGTGTGCATGAGTTGGCAGTGGTGGAAACTGGTTAAAAGTTGCTTGGAATTCTTTTTATTAGTTGTAAGATTTAGAGAGTTTAGTTGAGTGTGGTATATGTGTGGAAAGGCTTCGTTTGTTTTTACTTTAAAAAGGATGTCTGTGATTGAGGTACTCGTGTTTAAGTGGATATGGTAGAATTGAAGCAGAACTATCATCTATTTTTTGAAGATTTGATGGAAGGCGAATCTTTAACTAAAGTTGATATGTGACCGGAAGGTGTTGCGCAGTGGATGTTTGAATGTTGCTGATATGGAATGAAGGGTGGGAGTGAGAGAAGGAGCCATGATCGGTTTCGTCCTTGCGCAAAGGTGTGGGTGTGGGTGTGGGTGTGGGTGTGGGTGTGGGTGGGGTGTGGGTGTGGGTATGGATGAGTGTGGATGTGGGTGTGGAAGTGGGTGTGGGTGTGGGTGTGGGTGTAGGTGTGGGTGTGGGTGTAGGTGTGGGTGTAGGTGTGGGTGTGGGTGAGTGTGGATGTGGG